CTCCATCGAAATCAGTCGCATTGATCCGAAGACACATTTTGAGTTGTATACACTGTTGGAAAGAGGAGATTCCTAGCTTTCTAATGATATCAGGATTGTTTTTGTACTATATTAAGCAAAATATGTCACATTATATAATGACTGTCACCGAGTCATCATTTTGAGAAAAAGGCCTCAAAGTTTCCTCTTCTCTGGATCGATCTGATTGATTATTAGCGGAGCAAATGATCAAAGTAGTACGGAGGGAAGATATTTCCGTTTGGATTACTGGTCTGGGGGGAGCTCGCGAGTGTGTGCGTGTATACCACGTGTGTTTGTGTATTTTTGCGTTTGTTTCCCGGGGAAAACACTGACGAGAAACACCGGCTGTTGTTATGCTTGCTGTGACGTTAAATTACTCCGTTCTCCGCTTGTAATTATGCCGAAGCTTCAAAGTTGTATTTATCTTCTGAATTTGCCGAAACAAGTTTAATATTCTGAAAGCCAAGACTTTGTTTATTTGAAATCAGATGAAAACAAACTGTAACGGACCCTGCGGTGTTATCTATGATTACTATGCCTTACATTCATAATGTCAACGGAGGGAGGGTGAGCAGCGCTGTGGAACAGCAGAGTGGCGAGTGAGAGGCGAGCTGTGTTCTTCCCTTTACAAGCTTCAAACATGCCTGTAGCTAATGAGATTGAATATAACAATCAAAAATAACAAAATATACACAGCTAGATCAGATGGCGTTCTTTTTAGATGCGACTTTAGAGTAGAGGGGAATTATTGAAACGGGATGTGTACAGTGTTCCGGCATCCGCTGCTGCGAAAATGTGGGGCAGGGCCGTAAAGTGGGGGGGCCAATGGCCCCCCCGCTTCCGGCGCCCTTGGTGTAAGCCACTGCAGTCCCGTTTATTCGGCCAGCTCTGCACGGAGATGGGCGCAGGACAGGACACCCTGCTGTTCCATTCAGAGGTGCGTTGGCTCTTCCGTGGAAAGGTGCTACAGCGGGTGTACGAACTGCGCTCAGAGCTGTGTGAGTTCATACAGAATGACAAGCCAACCACTGCAGCACTCTTCTCGGACCCCGAATGGATCGCACAGCTCGCTTACCTCGCAGATGTGTTCAACTTATTGAACGATCTCAGTTTGTCCGTTCAAGGCAGATATGCCTCTATCCTGGAGGTAAGCGACAAAATCAAGGCATTCCGTGCCAAAACAGCGATCTGGAGAAGGCGGGTGCAAAATGGCATTTCAGACATGTTCCCCCAACTCACAGAGTTTTTGGACACAAACCAAATACCAGCTGAGATTGTGAAAAATACAATCGGTTCGCATCTTGCCTCCCTTGGTGACTATTTCACTGACGTTGACACCGATGCCTGGGACTGGGTGCGCGACCCCTTCGTTGCCCATACATCAGCGCGAGGTCTCAGTGGAAAAGCAGAGGAGGAGCTGCTGGACCTGGCATGCGACGCTGAGAATCCGGTTCGGCCAAGGGGGGCATGTGGACTTTTGGCCTTCGGTTGAACAGGAGTATCCGGAAATCGCTGCTGTTGCCATGCGGGTGTTGCTCCCCTTTCCAACCACATACCTGTGCGAGTCATCATTCTCAGCGCTGACCTCCATGAAGACCAAGTACAGGGCTCGGATGGAAGTGGAGAACGACCTAGTGTATGCCTCTCATCTACTTCTCCAAGGATAGAGAAGTTGTGCAGCGAGAGACGGGCCCATATCTCACATTAATGGTAAGAGCGCTCTCTCTCTGTGTGTGTGTGTGTGTGTGTGTGTGTGTGTGTGTGTGTGTGTGTGTGTGTGTGTGTGTGTGTGTGTGTGTGTGTGTGTGTGTGAACAAATTGTAATTTAAAACACATTTCCTACATGTCTACACCACCTTGCCCTCTTTGGATTTAATCAAGAAACATTAACCCTGTATAATGTTAACCAAAACTGTAAAATTATGTGATATTACTAAAAACGTATTATTGGGAATCGCGAGAAGTTTCAGAGCGACAGAGACACAGAGCGTCCCCATGGTAACTCACTCTCACTCCTGCCTGGTGCGCATGGCGCGAGAGGAGAGGGAGAGACGCGGAAGTGAGACTGACTGAGATTACTTTGAGCAACATGCATGGGAATAAGTTACAATATAATACATTTGTGTATATTTCTCGCTATTCAGATGGTCATGGTGCTGCTGTTGTGCAATGTGCAGTAGTGTCCTCTTTTTGCACCATGACATTATCAGTTATGAATTTGTGTGTGTGTGTGTGTGTGTGTATGTGTGTGCACGTGTGTGTGCGCAACAGAAATGTCAGATATGTTGCATTTATTTATTTAGTTTGATATGCGTGTCTTCACTTGCAGAGAGAAGCAATCAGCTTCATGGACTGCCTTGCATCACTACAAAAGTGTCCAGAGCTGGCTGCCATTACAAGTAGTGGTTTGGGATTGTAGCAATGCAGTTGCAGTTGTTTTGCTATTTACTTGATATATGTTGCAATGCAGGCATGTGTTCAATTGTTTATAGCCTGCATTTATTTTGCGATTAGACTTTTATAAATAATTTAACTAAGAGTGAAACACTTGATGTGTTATCTTTATGTGTGTGTGTGTGTGTGTGTGTGTGTGTGTGTGTGTGTGTGTGTGTGTGTTCTGAAATGCACTTCAAATGATCACTTTTCTCTTGATTTCCCTTTGATATTTTGTTTAGGTTACTTGCAGCTAATTGATTGATTGTTTTATGGGTATTCTGTGTTGAGATGGTGCAAATATTTTTAATACATATCCAATATCTTTCTAATACATTTCTCTTGTGTTGTTCTTTCACATAACTAAGACTATAGAAGTGTAAAAAATAGGCTACGTCAGATTATTCCAAGGGACATACAAGTCAAATCAAGTACATTTTTATTTATATAGCCCAAAATCACAAATCAGAATGAGGGGGTCCTTGGTGTATTCTCTATCTTGTAAGGCAGGGGTGCCCAACCAGTCGATCGCGGGGAGATTCCCAGTCGATCGCGAGATGTGTCTAAAAATAGAACAACAATATTCTGTTTTATCGTTAATGTCCTATAACATAATATTCCTGTGCCAGAATAATGTACTTGAACGCATCAAAGCTTTGTGATTGGCCGGCGTGACCCCAATGTGTCACGTGGCTGTTGGGCAGTGGGCACTATTTCGCTGATGTTGTCCGTGTCAACAGGAGTGACAGTCCACAGCCCAAAATATATAATTTTCACTACAAAGTGGGAGGATGATTATTTTTGTATCTATTCCAATTCAAAGTCCATCTGTCTCATCTGCAATGCGAGCGTGGCTTTATCGAAGAAGGGTAATTTAGGAGCGGCATTTCAAAAACAGTGCACAAACGCTACGAGACGGAATTCCCTCCTAATTCTGCCCTACGCTCCAAAAAGGGGAGGGGCCTGAAAGGACAGCTAAATGCACAGCAGTCCATTTTCACCAGGCCCAACAACAAGAGCAAGGCTGCTACCAGAGCATCTTATCGTGTCAGTCACGTTCTTGCGAAACACATGAAGTCTTTCAAAGACGGCGAAGTTGTGAAAGAAGCATTCCTGGAGGCTGCCGACGCGCTTTTGGGGACAGTAAAAATAACAGTAGCATTTCAACAGGTTTTTGATATAATGAAAACTCAAGTTAGATACCGTTATTAATCAGCTGTAAGTTTGAGTTTGTTTGAACTCATTCATTATAATTATTGTACAAAATGGTATAAGAATGCAAACTTAAATTGATTATAGTCTATTATCAATTCAGGTTAAGAAACTAGTGTTGCTTGCATCCTATTTTAAAGGCATTTCTTTTTATACTCTACTAAAATGCAACAAAAAAAGGGTTTGATTCTATTAATTTATTATCTATTAATTTGTATTGCACTTTGTATTGCAGCAGATTCCTGAGTAGCTTCAGATCTGAGTTGTCTTATTAGTAAGCCTCATTTATACTTTTGTAGCAACACTATTGTTATATAATGGCAAAGAAAGGGTTCAGAGTCTTTTCTTTTGTTCCTGTGTCATATGTGGCAGCACTGTTCAATGTTTCTTGAAAACATTACCCACTGTAGTGACGTGTGAATAAACTCCAACTCCGTATCAACAACACTGTTGTGTAACTTCAGTTAAATACTTGTATGTGTGTAGATTAGAAAGAGGTAAGATAAAGGATCTGCAGTATTTCATGAAGTAATAATCGTACAAAGGTCAGTTTTATTCAAGTAGAAGTGTGTATTTACCTGGTAGTAGGCTGTCAGTAATGGCTACGCCTCTCTATTTGGACTGGTAGATCTCAGCAGACTGGCAACTTTAAAAGTAGCTCTCGGTTCAAAAAAGGTTGGGCACCCCTGTTGTAAGGGGTCCTTGGCTGAAAAACAATTGAGAACCTCTGCTCTATTGCACTGGCACAATGCAGGCAGATATGTTCCGTTTCTATATTTCATATTACATTACATTACTTGTTAACATACTCAATACTGTGGGCAATCCCCACAGGAGCAACAGACAGACAGAGTAGTGCTGCTGTACACACACACACACACACACACACACACACACACACACACACACACACCACACACACACACACCACACACACACACACACACACACACACACACACACACACACACACACACACACACCACACACACACACACACACACACACACACACACACACACACACACACACACACACACACACACACACACACACACACACACACACACACACACACACACACACACACACACACGCTTCAAATAAAGTTGCATAAATGACGTTTTTATTATAATTACTGTGAAATATGCCTATTATGTTTTCGTCATTATTACAACAAATACACACTTGCAACTGATAACACTGGCAATGATTTTATATTTATTAGACTATTACAAAAAAAATCATGCTTCAAATAAGTGGGGGTACGGCGTACCCCCGCGTCCAACGCCCGCTACACCACTGGTTTTAATAGTAAAGTGTTTAATATTTACCTCTGTCACGATGCTAGACGCCCAAACAGGTGCGTCATAGTCCCATCCATGTGTGCATCCTGTAGTCTTGTTGATGCCATACGCCTCAATGGTTTCCAAATCAAGATCCACAGGTGTGAACATCTCACAGCTCTCAAAGCCTCCATCCCTGTTCAGTGGGAGGGTGAGATTTCTTTGTCGTTCCTCCGTCAGGTTGGGTCCTCGCTCCAGGATCCAGTCGGTGTTACAGGAATGTGGGAAGTTCAGTCCTACAAACACCTGACTGGCGATGTCGAAAGCAGAAAAAGTGCTGAGGATGCATATTCCAGCCAACAAGCGTTTCTGAAAGCTACCAAACTCCCCGATCTCCCGCAGGATCTCCCCGAAGCTGCTCATAGTGATGCTTGTCTATGCTGTGATGTGATGGATGTGCCAATCTGAAGGTGCTATACCTCAAGGAAGTGAGTGCATTTCTGTGCGCCAGAGGGGTCCAAGAGGAAACCATATTGCAAATGGAAGAACAAAAGGTGAGTTATAAATATATAAGTGTGTTTTGTGCGTTCATAAAAACAACGAAAAGGCGTTAGAATGTGAAATGCAGACATTGATGAGCTAGCAGCAAGTGCATTAGTTTATATGCTATGACTTCCCCCCCCCATCTAATTCAGTACATAATGGTTTCGTTCGTTGATACACAAGTTTGTGCTTTTTGGAACAGTGACGAAACCAAGAGCAACAGCCTGGGGGTTTTCATGTTTCTGTGGAGATTTCATTAAGTGTGTTTAAGTAAGTAAGTAAGTAAAGTTTATTTATAAAGCGCTTTTCACAGACAAAGTCACAAAAAGCAAACAATTGTAATCATAACTTCTCATAACTAAGATAACTGGTAGAACTAGTTTAGTCTGTTTATATGCACATCTGAGAGTTTTGTGTGTGTGTGTGTGGTGTGTGTGTGTGTGTGTGTGTGTGTGTGTGTGTGTGTGTGTGTGTGTGTGTGTGTGTGTGTGTGTGTGTGTGTGTGTGTGTGTATGTGTATCTACTTGTTTAGAAGAACCAACCAGTCCACCACTTGAAACTTGAGGGCACGGGATAAGTTTGTGCACAGATGGAAAGCTGACAGGCAGGTAGGTCATCCAGTTACTTTAGCCGGCTCAGATGATTGGTCGTGCTTTTTACAGTGCTACGGCTTCCACAGATGACATTTTTGTTATGGATTTGTTGTCAAAGCACTTCAGATATTCATTGCTATCGGGATGTTAAGAGCATTCCATGGAATATAACAGACAGTGTATCTCGAGCCGGTTTCTCAAACTTACCTACCCCACCTTTAATTACTTTTGACACTAGTATAACATATGTTCTAAATAAACAAGTATGCTTTGAACAAGGCACTTGCTTTGCAACTTTATATTCCAGTCAATGGTCAGATAAGGGGTTAGCTACACATTCATGCTTTTACACAAGTCATTCACCTGGGTAAGTGGCATATCATTTTACAATGTACACAAAAAGTAAGAGGGAGCAGCAAACAGTACATTGTATTTTACAACTGTTTCCATATAGGAACAATGAAGCATGCCACTGTTCTTGTTTGAATCCTTAAACATCTTAGCAGCATTAAAAGGTCTTGAATTACATGAACAAATTACATTTCTGTCCAGTCAGGTTTGTGTTCTGCAACTGGAGAATAATAGTCAATATGCAAGTTTGTTGTAGTTTGTGAACACACCACCAAGTTTGAGTAGTGAAAGATGGGCTCCCTTCTGGCCAGCTGGACTTCTACATAACTATTAAAGGTCCTGGTGAAGTGCTTCTTTTAGGTCCCAAATATACAGTATCTATGGCACACCATTACTTGCAATTCTGCACAACTACTTCGAACATGAAAAACTCTTAACCGTTTGGATTGGTTTGATTGTTGTTGGAGTCTAAACAATGTCCGTAACCCACACATTGCTCTCAAGAACTGCATTGAATTCTGAACGGAGATCTGGGAAGTTCTCATAGCTGTCAGCTATGTGCAAAATATTCCCACATGTGTGCGCAATCGGTCTTCTTGTGAACTCTGTCATTTTCTCAAATCCCACGTAGATGCTGTCTGTCACGATGAGATCAGATCCTGTGCAGAACCGTAGAAACGTCTGAAGTTTACTCTCATAGCTACTCACCCACACCAAGCCATGGCACCATATCACCCCCACCCTCATCCACCTACATTGGCTGCCGGTCAAGTCCCGGATTCAATACAAAACACTCATCTTCACGTACAAGTCCCTCCATACCCTCACCCCCCAGTACTTATCGGACCTCCTCCATCCCTACACCCCTTCTCGGAGTCTGCGGTCCTCAGACACGGGCCTGCTCTCCATCCCCTGCTCTCGCCTCCGAACTGTTGGTGACAGGGCATTCAGTGTTGCGGCCCCCACCCTCTGGAATGCACTTCCTGCCGAGATCCGTAATAATGCCTCCCTGGACATCTTCAAATTATCACTAAAAACACACCTGTTCACCCTGGCCTTCGGGCCCTAGCCCTTTTCTGGTCCCCTGGCTTCCTTTATTTATTTCTTTGGTTTGCCCGTTGATTGTCTGTTTGTTTTGTTTGTCCACCATGTACAGCGACCTTGGGTCCCTTGAAAGGCGCTATATAAATATGATTTATTATTATTATTATTATTATTATAGCTCTCTGATGAATCTTTTCAGATGATTTGCTACCTCCTTTTGGTTTGTAGTCAAATCAACATCAAATGTCAGTAGTTTTTTTTGTGGTGGGTTGCAGGTCAGACAACAACTTAGTCAGTGCCTCTGGACTGAGGTCGTGATGTTGATGGTTAATCTCCCTCCAGCAGTCAATAACGAACATCGGTTTTTGGACCATCTCTTTGTGGGCAATTTCTTCAATTATTTTAGGAAGATTCTCTGCGGTGACTTTCCTTCTACAGCCATAGCTGTCGAGAACCTCCAAAAGGTCATCAGTGTCAACTGCAGTGAAATCAGTCAGCATTTAGGCTCTGTGTTTCCCAGTAGCCGTGACTTTTATACCTAGGCCCTCTGACCCCCCCCCTTCCCTCGAGTTATTACGTCACAGCGTATACTTCAGCGGAATATCAAAAAAAAACGGCCCGGGGTGCAAAACGCATCAATGAAAGCGACCCTCTACCACACAAAACAACACCTGTAAATAACCCTATTTGTGTTCTTTGAAATTGAAAAGGATATTGCATTGTGTTTGTTACTTTCGTTGCAGTTGTATGTCTTAAGTGTAATTTGGCATGCTTTTATTTTGAAGGCGAGTTAACGCTGTTGACAGGAAGTTGTTGTTGCTATGGAAACAAGAAAAGTTTCACAGCGGGCGGAACTTGTCATAAAGTCCGCGATAATAACACCCACCCATTTAGAGGGAAGATATGATTGGTCAATTGTACTGTCATTTGACATTACTCTCTCGCTCAGTTACTATAGCAACCCTCTGTGAATTCATAGCTGGACTGCCTGGACGTCCAACAGCTCCTCTCTTCTTTCATTTAACCCTTCACATTCCAACAGAAACTGAATAGGCAGATTCGAAGGATTTATTTCTTTGGAAATGTTATTTTAAATACAATTAAATCAAGTTATTTTGGTAAAACTTATGAAAAATATAAAAAATATATATATAAAAAAATATAATTTTTTTTTTAGTGTTTTTAAATATTATTTTTGTAGAATATCTTAGGCCCTCACAGAGGGTCGCCACTGATGTTTCCTGTTTGTAATGGGGTGTGAGATCCTTGTGGCTACTGACTGTGTTCAGGTGGACAGCAACTGAGGCTGTGAATCATGTGTCAGTGATGAATAAATGCCCACACCGGGTTGTATTTGGACGTTCTGCCTTGCCTCTGCCTCCTTACTTGGTCGGGCCGCTCAACGGTCAGCTTCTCACCCCAACTCCGGGGACTTCCGGCCGGGGACTTCGGGTGGCAGTAAAGTTGTTTGCGGCCTGCCAGTAAACCCAAAGCAGAAGTAGAAGAAGAGACGTCGGCGGCTTCATTTGCCTAATCCTCCCCCAGGGACTTATTCCGGTGTGAACGCGATCTGTACTTATTTCATGAGAACTAAAGAGTTCTCATTTGGGTGTGCGGAGAAATGCTCTCTGCACACCCATTCTCACAGCGCTCTAAACCTTTTTCTTACTCAATATCAAGCCACACTTATTGTTTTTACTTTGGCTGTGAGTGTTTCTGTGTGCTCAGGATGAGTTTTGCTGTGTCTCTCTGTATCGCCGACCCGGAAACCTGTACGCTCCTCGCAGCAGCGAGCCTCGCAACCTCCCGACCAATCAGAGCACACTGGGCGACTGTGGCTGCGAGGGAGTGCGGTCGTCTTTCAACCAGAAGGTTGTGGGTTCGATCCCAGCCCGTACAGCCAACATGTCGATGTATCCTTGGGCAAGATACTTAACCCTGAGATGCTCCCGATGGCATGGCCAACGGTGTGTGAATGTGTATGAATGTTAGGTCCTAGAGTAAGGTACACTGCTCTGTGTGAATGGGTGTGAATGACATGTAGTATGTACAGCGCTTTGAGGGGTCTTAAAGACTGGATAAAGCGCTTTATAAGTACAGTCCATTTACCATTTACCATTTACTGGGCTCACAGGGAGGGGGGGGCAGGAGCTCCAACAAGCCGTTTAGGACAGAGAGTGAATACACATACTATACAGAGATGCTGTATGAGGAACCAATGTGATTTTGGAAAATTGCACAATTTAAATCTATTCTAGTAGACCTCAACAATGGAAATATGATCAGTAGAAATGGCCATGACATGGGACCTTTAATAATAATAATTCGATAAGGCTATTTAAAGAAAAAATAGACAAACAAAAAGGTGGATGTGTTTTGGTTTCTTACCGGTCAGAAATCGCCCCATAAGCCAGCGCTCCAACCAGAACTCCGGCCATGGAGATGGACTGGGACGCCTTGATCAAACCACTCCTGTCACAAACTACATCAAACTGAAGTGAGAGGGGGACACAAATAAACAAAAACAGAGACCTTACTGCAGTATTTGTTTATAAAGTTATCAGTACAGTCACCACAGGCAGATAGAGGAGGGCATATGAGGTCACCGCTTCTCAAACATCAGAAACATTTACTTATAGTTTTAATAGTAAAGTGTTTAATATTTACCTCTGTCACGATGCTAGACGCCCCAACAGGTAGTAACATAGTCCCATCCATGTGTGCATCCTGTAGTCTTGTTGATGCCATACGCCTCAATGGTTTCCAAATCAAGATCCACAGGTGTGAACATCTCACAGCTCTCAAAGCCTCCATCCTTGTTCAGTGGGAGGGTGAGATTTCTTTGTCGCTCCTCCGTCAGGTTGGGTCCTCGCTCCAGGATCCAGTCGGTGTTACAGGAATGTGGGAAGTTCAGTCCTACAAACACCTGACCGAGCATGTCGAAAGCACAAAAAATGCTGAGGATGCATACTCCAGCCAACAAGCGTTTCTGAAAGCCACCAAACTCCCCGAAGCTGCTCATATTGATGCTTGTCTATGCTGTGGTGCCACATTCACTGTGATGTGATGGATGTGCCAATCTGAAGGTGCTATACCTCAAGGAAGTGGGCAAAAGGTGCCAACTAACTAATATTTAACCATGGACATACAGTAAGATTAGTACGATGGACTTAAGACATAACAATAATAAAGCGTGCACTTATAATAACCTGCCCTGTAGAACTGCAACAATTATTAATGATTTTCAAAACGGATTGTTATTGAAATATCGATGAACTTGGCATAAGCCTGAATAGCAGACTATTGAACTGTAAAACACATTATTTCTTATACCGGTAAGACTGTATCACGGATAAGCTACCTTAAGATATGGCTATTCAATTAAAATAACACTGTCACATTAATAGAGACAAATATAACAGATGATTAACCGTTTTAATGTTGCTTCACCACCGCATATAAATTGAGCAAAGACCAATCAGCTTCGTTTGGATCGGGGTTTAAGGTACAGCAGAACAGTGAAACATAACTTTAACTAAACTATTTTGCTTATTGTACTGTAGCATGCAAAATTACTCACCACTGCATGGGGAGTTCTACTGCATATTTCACTACCAACAACTGTTCAGAAGAAAGGGAAACTACGACGAAGGCTTCGGACACGTTCAACACAAGAACCGATGGCTTCTGAGAAACTCTGCTGACGCGGTGTCCAGTGAGTCGGAGGCATAGACACTCAAACAAAGTGAGTACCATATATATCCTTTTGTTGTTCATAAATGGTTATTAATGTGGCATCCCTTCATTTAAAACTGTGTCTTGTTTCTCTCCTCAGCTGATTTAACGGTGAACACGGAGAATCATGACGATGCGTTTGAGGCACCAACGAGTGTTTAAATTTGTGTGTTCATAATACGTGATAATGTGTTGACGCATAACCCGCCTATTGCTTCAATGGTTTAACTTTAATCAATCAGTTTTGATCATTTACCGTTTGTTTAGTTTAGAATTACCACAACGAATCACAGTTAACTTTTTGGAAAATTCTATCTTTTGGTCACAGTGTTAATTAAAAATAGGTTTGACAAATAGGAATACAAAAAGTAACAGATTTGATATTAAAATCCTGGGTATGCAGAAAGATCCAAACATTTACTAATTTTTTTGTTGCAAATGTAGATTCGAAACACATTGGAATTGTATGTCTGTGCAGATAATAATAATAATAATAATAATATGAATTATTTGCTTTTTATTAATTTATATAAAGTTGTAATTTCTGTGTGAATATCTCAGGTTTCCCCTGAAGCTAAATTGTTGCCCCAATACTTTTTTTTCAACACTTTCAATAAAGCTCTGGTAAATTAAATTGTATTCACATAACACTTTTATCCCAACAACACCGATAAAAAGAAGTTGAAAAAAAATGCAAATACATGTAGAAAAGTTTTCTGACTATAATAAAGGAAGTAGAGTACAAATTAAGTAGAGTACAAATTAAAGTTTTTTCTCTTGAATTATTACTTCAGCATTCTCCAAAGCTCCATTTGATGGTTTCCTAAAATGAAAAACAGAACAAATTATTGTTGTATACAATTATTTACACCGAATACATTTGTTTTTCAAATAAATCTGTGTATCATGGCAAGCCGATTTAGCTTTTATTCGTTTCTGGAGGATATCAAAAAATCCATTCTTACTAGCAGAATTGATTTTTAGATATCCTCCAGAAATGAATAAAAGCTAAATGGGCTTGCCATAGTGTATACTGCACTCACTCGGACTCAGTGTGGTCCTGGAGTTCCACATTGAGGGTTTCAGGCAGTAACAAGCAGAGACCAGCAGCAGTGATGGGGACGATGCCGTATATCAGCATGGGGATGGAGTGATGGTAGACGTCCAGGAGTCTCGCCAGTGGAGCCAGGATCCCCGCCACGCGACCAAACATCGAGTTCACACCAAAACCATTCTGCCTGCAAGAACACACAATGGTGAATGGACTGCGTTCATACAGCGCTTGAAATGCAATTGAAAAAGAGTGACATTACCTTAAAATAGTTGGGTATAATTCTGTAGTGTACACATAGATTACGTTGAAACTGGCAGTAGCAGCAAACGTCCCGATGACTGCTATGGTTGTCACCACGGCAGGAAGATCTGATGGGGAAATAATACATTGCAAGTTGCAACACATAGTGAACGTGAAGAAAACGACACGTCTATAACAAATGTTTTCATGTACTATATACCTTTTGGGATGGCAAGGACCATGAGGCAAGAAGCTCCCCCGAAGAAAAGGAAGCCCACTAGTCCTGTCCTCCTTCCGATGCGTTGCATCAGAGCGTAAGAAGTAGCCTGTGCAGGAAATTCGACGACTCCAAAGATGAACTGTGTGAGGTAGATATTGAGGCCAAAGCTGCCCACATTCAGGGTCAGTCCGTAGTAGAGAAGATTTGCTGCAAACCTGGTACAGTTGGAGAATAAGAAAGACATTTTGTTCAAGTTCCCAATCAAGGATTAATGTGACAAATGTGAACAATTAACAGCGTGGCGATTAGATATCATTGATAAACATTAGTCATACTGATTCACTGACTGAGAAAGAACAGAGCAATTGTTATGAAGACCCACCAGTTGTAGCCCATTATGAGAGTACGTTTTCTGAAATACGATATCCGGAAGATGTCGAACACGTTTCTTCTTCCGGATGTTCCCTCAATCTCAAGCTTAGGAAGTGAAAAGAAAGAAAATGAGTATGTGTCACAAAGAGGTTTAAACGGAAGAGGATTAGGGACCACTTTTTTGAGAAGAAAACAAATCTGAATTGTGAGGATTCGTATAATTTTTTTAAATTATTTTATATTTATAAAAACGTTTTAAACAGTATTCCAACTTTTCTTAAAATTCAGATTTTTTCTCAGATTTCTGACTTATTCTCAGAGAATTGACTTTTTCCTAACAATTCTACGGAGCCCTGGAGGGTTCATAGAGAGAAAAATAAATAAAACGAGGCCACGTTTTATAAATTGCGCACAATATACTTTCTCATTCGCACGAGATACTTTCTTTTTTTAAGACACATCGAACTGCCCGATTACTACGCCATACAGTATACGCCGTTTTATAAAGAATATGTCCGGTCGCCAGGGTGTGTGTGTGTGTGGGGGCATTTGTTTATGATAGTGTTGTTCGTTCCGGAGCACTCCGACAGGACTATAGCAGTAGCAATACATCGAGATTAAACACATTTCTTTCACTTGTTAATACACATATTACTATGGAGAACCAGATGTGGGTAAATTACTGTTCATGGTAATTTGAAAACAAATGCCGGTGTCGGACACACAGAAACACACCGAACACACACACACAGACAGAGATGGGGTCGTTAAAAAAGTAATATATTACATATTACTTTAAAAAAAAGTTATATATTACTTTACTTCGTTACTCTCTACATAAAGTAACGCGCTACTTTACTCGTTACTTTACTCGTTACTTTACTCGCAGGGCCGCCTCTCCCTAGAGGCAGATCACGCAGACTGCGGAGGATGCTTCATTTTGCGGAGGGAGCCTCATCTGAAGCGCAAATGCGGCGCACCTACAGTGTGTTACTTTACTCAACATCCTCCCTCTGGATTCGGAGGTCCTCCTTAGCTATTAGCTTCACGTTAGCATGTTGTCTTTGCAGGTGTTTGTTGAGGTTTGACGTTGTGTTTTGTGGATAAAAGCTTCTGGCCTGGACACAGTTTGCACCTCACCGTCACATTCCTGTCCTTTCTTCGGACGAACTCAAAATAATGGGCATACCTCCACCCCTCGAAAGTTATCGCTGTTGACTCAGCCATGTTTATGCACTGCATGTGGATGCGCAAGTCGCGCAAATGTTACGTAACTATAAACCTGCGGCGGAAATCCCTCTTGTCTGTCAAAGGGAGAATCTAGTAATTATTTATGTTAGTAGGCTAACTGTAGTGTGAGTACTGATTATATAAAAGTAACGAAAGTAACGCGTGTTGGGCAATGTTAGTAACTGTAGTGTGATTACTGAATTATAAAATTATGAATGACTTTGTAACGCGTTACACCCAACTCTGCACACAGAGCGGAGCGTAGCACAAACACACACACATCATGCGCCCTGGTGACCAGACCTCTCCTTCATAAAATGAGAAATAGGGGGAACTAGAGAATGCAATTCCTGAAGAAATTGCTAGTGGGAATGCTTTATGCTGAAAAGCTGACGCTGAATTGCTATGTTGAAATGTAATGTGTAAGAAGAAAGTGAAGAATTTAGATTGAAATGATACATGAACACTGGGGGCTTGAATGTGTGATGAGAGAAGAAAAGAAAGTAAAAAGGCTTGGAAAAGCAGCAGAATATTTGAACTGCAAACTTTTGAACTAACTTGATGGCGAATGATCTGTCGCCATGCCAACGGCATTTGATGACATCCCATAATACGCTTCGATGCGTTGATGGCTGCATCGTTACCAAACCTGTGAAGTTTTGGGCCGTTTGGAGCATTTTCACTGAAGTTATGAGAAAACCGTGTTTCATGGTGAGCATTGTGTTGCCATGGCAACGGCATTTGAAGAAATCTCAAAACTGTCCCGTAGATGTCTTCACGGCTGGACTGTTCGCACACATGTGAAGTTTGAGCCCTTTTTGAACATTTTCATAGGAGTTATAGCGACATCGTCTTTTATGGCGAGGGTTGCGTTTCCATGGAAACGGCATATGATGACACCCCATCATTGACGTAGAGCTGTTGAGGGCTGGACCGTTAACCATTATCTGAAGTCTGGTGCTGTTTTGACCCTTTTCATAGGCGTTACGACAACATAGTGTTTTATGGCGAGGGATGCGTTTCCATGGAAACGGCATATGGTGAAATGCCAGATTTGATGTAGAGCTGTTGAGGCATGGAGAGATGATATACAGTTGAAGATTGTGGGACGACCGGACCGTGTCCATTGGAGCTACAGCAACATCGTGTTTTATGGCGAGGGATGGGTTTCCATGGCAACAGCCTATGGTGAGATCTCAGATTTGGCGTAAAGCTGTTGAGGCATGGACCGGTGATATACCGGTCCATGCCTCTCACAAGCGAAGTTTGGGGGGCGATCGGACCGTGTCCATTGGAGTTACAGCGACATCGTGTTTTATGGCGAGGGATGCATTTCCATGGAAACGGCATATGATGATACCCCATAATTGACGTAGAGCTGTTGAGGGCAGGACCATTAACCATTATCTGAAGTCTGCTGCTCTGAGCATTTCAGTTGGAGTTATGACACCATTGTTCCATGACACAGGTGTTTATATTTGAGCTAACGACGTGTCCAGAGATCAAAGGTTTCCATGGTGATGTGCAGTAATCAGTGAGAGGAGAGCATTTTCATTGTTCTGAATGAGAGATAAACCTCTTACATGTGAACGTTTTGTTGAAGAACCGTAACAGATATCGGTGAAATTTCAAAGCGTGAAGCATGTCAAGGAACTTGAGCATCTGAAGTGTACTTTTTGTGTACTTTCGGGTTAATGATGTGGCCTTTTTGGCAGATTAACTAAAGGTGTGCGGCTGCTGTGGTGGGGAAAGATGAGGCTGAATTTACAATGGGGTTTAATGGAGACATGTTGAAAGTTTTTGTCACTTCATGCCCTCAAGAGGCATTTTGTTTAATTATTTTTGCTTGATTATTTTTATTCTTCAAGCTACGAGATGTTTTCCTACATTTCTCATGAAAAATTATGTCTCAGGAATGTAGGGTTTGGGAATTATGGCAGGTTTAAAAAAAATAAATAATATGAAGGTGAATTTCAATCTCTCCTCCACTCTAGCTGTGACATCACACACTCTAAATCTGAAGAAGGCCTCTTTACCAAGGTCTGAGCAATGTTTAATATCTCTAAAAGTACGAATCAGATTTAAAAGTTGTGTAACACGAATAATGTCAGAAAGATGTGTAACATGTTTAAGTTGGAATGAGGTTTCTGAGTGAAAGTATTAAGCAGCAGTTAGCAGTTGAAGAAGGAGCAGTTAGCAGTTGAAGTTGCATGAAGATTTTTCAAGTCTGAAGAGTTTCTCCATTGACTTCCATGTTAAAAATGTGATGAATTATGGGATGTATCTCTGGAATTATGAAAGTTATGAATTTGAAAAGTAATAGCAATCGATTCCCGACCGAGCTGAATGTTTTGATGTTTGAACGGAGTTTCTGCGATGTGGAATGTGGGAGAAGAAGAGCAGCAAAATAACCCGGCGGAATAATAAAGAATGTCGTGAGTCGAAGAACAGATAGGTTAAACGTAGCAGCCTCGATCTCTATTCAGCGGTTCTAATGAAGGGAAACACAGTGAAGTAACCAGTAAAAGGCACAGCTCTTTGCAGCTGGTGGCCTGGTGCTGCTCTTCTCAGATTCTGCTGAGTTACACGTTACTGCCTCCAGTGCCCTGTACGACGAAGCCAGTTCAACAGACCCTGGATATGTTTGAGTTACCCGGCTTAACTAACCCTAACAAACGTGATTTCGCTAAGCGGTCCTACGAAGCTGGTTATCAACTCAGTAAATCAACCAGGGTTTCTCTGTCTGGCTGAGTGCGCGTTCACGTGAAAAGGAAGGGGTTAGCGACATTTGACCAATCACAAACATGGAGAAGCGTGTTGACAGCGCAGCATCATACTTCATGAATGAATAGTAAATAGCAAACCCTGCTTCGTAGTACAGGCCACTGGTGCCGCAGAGATTTCATACATTTAAGGAGGCTTCCCTTCTATAAAACAGCTGTGGGCAGCAGATACTGTGATCAAAGCAGACTCTTCTGTTTTGCGAATCCGGTGCTTAAACAAATAGCTTTAAACCCCTGGCCAAAATGTCCCTAAATGAAGTCCGAGTTTGAAATATATCTCAAATAATGTATGCACTGCCATTATAAACAACAGTCTGCAATGAAACGGTTCTTCTTCTTTCGTGTAACGCAGAGGTCCAACTCGGTGTCGTGTAGCCATGCCCGCATCTCTGGTCCTAAGTCGAAGAGGCTGGCTTCCGAGGGTGGTCTATATAAAGGGCAGGTGGTTATTATATGTTCGGCAGTCTGTTCAGGGTCACCGCACTCGCATGCAGCACTGTCTGCCAGGCCCCACTTCTTCATTTATGTTTTGAAGCGACCGACCCCAGTTCGTAGGCGATTTAGTGTGGTCCATTGCCGGCGTGGTAGGTCGTCTCCTCCTATGGCGCCATCTCCTGGGTCCCAGATAGCGATGGATGCGGGAGGGCCCGGCTAGCTCCCACTCCTGCTTCCAAGCAGCCGCCAACCATGCATCTCTGGAGAGGTCCTCAGAGGTGGAATTGAGAATCTCTTGTGCTGCCTTGTTGAAACGGTTGTCTCCTCTGTGCTCCACTTCCTACTTGGCGCACCGGTAACTTTCGAGAAACTAACGAAATACTAACGAAATACGTTAAAGTATATCGTGCACACAAGATACTTTTTTCCCCCTCCATGAACCTTTGGGCCGGAGGTTCCGTACAATTCTGACTTTTCTTCAGATTTTTTACTTTTTTCTCAGAATTAGTTTTTTTTCGGCTTTAAACTCAGATTTCAGATTCCTCAAAATGTGGACTTTTTTCAGAGTTCCAAATGTTCTCAAAACTCAGATTTCAGACTTATTTTTCCCCTCCGAATTTTGGCTTTTACTTGTCTTTTCTTACCTTTTTGTCAGATCTCCAAAAACTGTTTTCATGTGGCCCCAATCCAGTGGCGGCGCCAGAGATTTCCTCTAGGGGGTGCTGTGGGGTAGCTTGACGTTTCATAGAGGGTGCTCAAACATTAAGGGTTTCCCATTAATGCACCAGCGCTACAGTTGAATTGTCTACTGCAACACTCCCCCACACACACACACACACACACACACACACACACACACACACACACACACACACACACACACACACACACACACACACACACACCACACACACACACACACACACACACACACACACACACACACACACACACACACACACACACACACACACACACACACACACACCACACACACACACACACACACACACACACATACACACACACACACATACACACACGCACACACACACACACACACACACACCCACAGTGCACCCGCGACTGTTACAATGAAGGCTCGATAACCAGCTCACGGCATATAGGCAGGGGTAAAGTGCTATTTTTACAAGTGGAGAGCGGACCTCACCTCCTCTAGGGGGGTCCGGGGGCATGCTCCCCCTGGAAGATTTGTTTTTAAATATTGAAGTTAAAAGCATCAATCTGGTGCACTTTGAGAGCAACATTAAGAGATCTATGGATACATCTCTCAATACCCATACGAAACAGAACTGTCAACAGATTTACTTTTTCTTTATAGATATTTTACAAATCACTCCCCTTTTAAAACAAACCGTTTGAGACCCACTGAGATAACTAGACTAAAGTTAACCATCTAAACACTGAGAGAGTCCTTTACTTCACCTGAGCTGAGGTTACCTGAGACTCTCCGTCTGACAGGAGAGAGTGCTCTCTCCACCTTGTTGTTGAAAAAGCTCCTTATATCCGTTAGCTTGGCTAGCTAGCACCAGATGCTAACCACTGTCACTACCCGATCTGCAGCTCTGCCCGATCTGCAGTGCGCATGTGCGAGATGGTCCACCATATTGGACAACTCCGGACGGCAACCCAAGATGGACACTTGACACAGTGGCTTTTAGCAAAGCTCAAAAATAAAACGAGAGAGAGATGAGTTATTGTTATTACAACGTGACTTCACTATTATTTAACAACTCTTTTTATGGGGTTCTTTTATTTGGGGTTAAGTACATTGTCAGAATAAGTGAGAAATGAATTTAACTTCTGTTAGACAGCTATATGCCATACGTTTTTGCACACATTCACAGTAAATATGTATTCAGTATGATAGCTGTCTAACAGAAGTTAAATCCATTTCTCACTTATTCTGACAATGTACTTAACCCCAAATAAACGAACCCAATAAAAAGAGTTGTTAAATATTAGTGAAGTCACGTTATAATAACAATAACTCATCCCTCTCGAGTTTTCCTTTTTAGCTTTGCCAAAAGCCACTGTGTCAATGTTGTCCTATTTGGGTTGCCGTCCGGAGTTGTCCAATATGGCGGACCATCTCGCACATGCGCACTGCAGATCGGGCAGAGCTGCAGATCGGGTAGTGACAACCACAACGATCTCCGGTAGATACCCACTGGTGCGCGAGGCGAGCTCTCTCGCTCGCTCGCGCACGCACGCACACAAAATGGCTCGTGCCACACACACACACACACACACACACACACACACACACACACACACACACACACACACACACACACACAGAGCAGGGCTTGAATGAAACACAGAGACCCAGAAGTAAGCTACTTGTACTCACGAGGCCTATTATGTGCAGAATCCCTCTCGCTTTCAGTTGGTTTTGATTGAGTGTCCACACGTGGACGTTTAAGGATTAAAAACGATCAATTTTTCACTTTGCTGTTAGCAAATCATTTGGCGCTCTAGCTAACAGGAAGTCACCCAAGTGTCACAAAGTAATTTAGCCTATGGGTAGGTCAAAAATCGAATGGGTGCTGGCCATTGGCCTAATCATATCACCTGTGTTGGCTTTATGTTTTTGGTCAAAAATGTGTTTGTTTCACATGCATTGATGTAATCAATAATATTTCTAATTTAATTTAATAAAAATAATAATAATAATTTTTGAAAAAAAAAAAAAACACATATTTCTTGGGGGTGCTTAGGGGGTGCTTTGGCAATCCTGGGGGGTGCTTCAGCCCCTAGCTCCCCCCTGGCGCCGCCCCTGCCCCAATCCTTTATAGGGTTGAATATATGGTGAATTTATTTTGAGATCTGACAGAAAGTGATTCTGACTTATTCTCAGAATTCTGACTTTTCCAACTGATCTCATGTGGCCCCAATCCTCTTCCGTAGGTTTATAGTTTATAGCGTTGTTGACACTGCTCACCTTGTCCAGCAGATGTTCTGGTACCGTGGTCCCGTTCAGTCTGGCCGCCCTCTGCAGCTCCTTCAGCGCCTCCTCCTTCCTACCCTGGGTGATCAGCCAGCGGGCGGACTCTGGGAGAAACCTAAAGATAAGATAAGACTTTATCCCGAAGGAAAACAAATACAACAAACACAGCAGCATAACATTAACACTGTACAAAAAAGACAGGGTTACAGATGGGGTCCAAAACTAGCAAGCCACATGAATGTCTGGGAGCAAATTCATTTTATATGCTACACAAATATGACCAGGATCCGTTGAATTTTCAGAATATTGGGTTGCAGATTATAATTATCCGAAGGGGGGTTCGTTTAGCATGAAACACTTGAAATAACTAAAGGATAAGTTAAAAAATAAAGTAGAAATTAAGTGAGGTCAAAGAAAACTATTTCTGCTAAAAAGTCAGTGTAGGAGCCATGACACATGTAGTATTGCGTTTTTGTTTTAATATAAGATATTTGTTTGAGCACTATTGATTGGTTGGCTTGGGTCACATGGATATGGACACTCATTATAATCCTGTTCGCCTGCGTGAGGTGTGTGGAAGAGAGGGTGACACAGGGCCGTTGTACTTTTTGTTGACCGCAAATTGAAATTATTGCTTTGATCAATATAACAATGTTCATGTCCAAGCAGAATAAGTTGATTATCCCAGTTTTCATTATTTTGCAACAGAGTTTTTGATCTCAGCAAGTACCTTTTTGTAGCGTGTCACACAATATCAAACAGGCCCGGCCTCAGCCTCTCAGCGACTTTGTTTGTTTCCTGCTGCTATAGTTAGCAATGATTGAGAGTCAGAGCTAAACATTTCAAATGTGTGTAACTCACACTGCACTGCAACTTTAATTCATGTTCCTTTGTTATTCATGCTTTATTATCTTTGCTTTTAAATGTGTTTTTAAATGCCATTTTATAATTAGTGCGAATGCTGTTTACAGCATTCCACTATAGTACTTCAAAACTTTATTCTTCCCCTTATTATTTCAGCCAATACTTTGGCTCTCCATAACTTCAGCTTATTTTCAGCTACAGAAACCATTCAAATATTAAACTATTCAGCCTGTTCAAGAATCGATGGGAAACCTTCAACTTTTTCAAAATATTTCATACCTTTTGAAATATTCAGCTTTTTAAACTATTTTTGTAACATTGAAGTCAATGGGAGATGCCTTCAAATCCACTTTTCCTACACTTTGCGCCAAATGCATCTCCTTCCACATAATTTCAGCCAGAGACTTCATTCCAACTTTCAAATGATCACAATACCTTCAGCTATAAAACTTATATAAAATAATTTTGATATCTTTTCAACTTTTTGAGATATTGAATTTAGTTTGGAGCTTGGTAGAGAGGCATTTTTAAGATTTTTACATTAGAGTGGATGGAGCAGCTCATTAACTCTAGAGTGCTTTGATCTCAAAACAGAGTGCAGGACAGCTCAAAATTCTCCCCCAAAAATGTTTTAAACTTGCCATACTTCCCAAACCCTACACTCCTCAGACGTATTTTTTCATGGAAAACGTAGGAAAACCTCTCCTAGGTTGGAAAATAAATAAAAAATAAGAACAAATATTAAAGAAAATGCCTCTTGAGGGCATTAAGTGACAAAAACGTTCAACATTCCTCCATTGAAGCCCATTGTAATTTCAGGCAGATATTTCCTAATGGTAGCAGCCGCACACCTTTAGTTAAACTGCCAAAAAGGCCACATTATTAACCCAAAACTACACTAAAATTACACTTCAGATACTCAACTTCCTTGACATGCTTCACGTTTTGAAATTTCACAGATATCTGTTACGGTTCTTCCACAAAAGGTTCCCATGTAAGAGGTTCATCTCTCATTCAGAACAATGGAAACCTGTGATCTCAACACACCTCGTTAGTTCAAATATAAACACCTGTGTAATGGAACACGATGTCCAGCTGTGAAGACGATTCAGGACAGTCTTGAGATTTCTCCAAATGCCGTTGCCATGGCAACACAATGCTCGCCTTGAAACACGGTTTTCTCATAGCTTCAGTGAAAATACTCCAAACAGCCCAGAACTTCACAGGTTTGATAACGATGCAGCCATCAATGCATCTAAGCGTAGTATGGGGTGTCATCAAATGTCGTCGCCATCAAACACGATGAGGCTGTAAGTCCAATCGACACTGTCCAATCGTCCCCCAATCTTCACTTGTATATCACCGGTCCATGCCTCAAGAGCTCTACGCCAAATCTGAGATCTCACCATATGCCATTTCCATGGAAACGCATCCCTCGCCATAAAACATGATGTCGCTATATGTCCAATGGACACGGTCCAATCGTCCCCCAATCTTCACTTGTATATCACCGGTCCATGCCTCCACAGCTCTACGCCAAATCGGAGATCTCACCATATGCCGTTTCCATGGAAACGCATCCCTCGCCATAAAATATGATGTCACTATAACTCCTATGCAAATGTTCAAAGAGTGCTCAAACTTCACATGTGTGCTAACAGTCCAGCCGTGAAGACATCTACGTGACAGTTTTGAGATTTCTTCAAATGCCGTTGCCATGGCAACACAATGCTCACCATGAAACACGGTTTTCTCATAACTTCAGTGAAAATACTCGAAATGGCCCAAAACTTCACAGGTTTGGTAACAATGCAGCCATCAACACATCTAAGAGTATTATGGGATGTCATCAAATGCCGTTGCCATGGCGACAGATCATTCACCATCAAGTTAGTTCAAAAGTTTCCCAAGCCTTTTTACTTTCTTTTCTCATCTTAATACAAATTCATTCACTACTACTTAAATCTGATATTTAACTCCTTCAGCCTATTTTCAGCTGCAGAACCCATTCAACGATTACATTATTCAGCTATTTCAGGACATCAAGGCTATACATGTTGTTGCTTATACCTTTTTTAAACCTTTTCTTTTCAATATTAAGCTTTTTCTGCATTTGTTTAGCTAAAAGCAGCTACCATTCAGCTAATACCATATTCAGCTTTTTCTGCATTTTCAGCTAAATTCAGCCATAAATGTTCACAGTTTACAGCATTCGCACGCATTTTCTGCAGGAAATGCATTTTATAATTTGTTTCTTAATGCTCAATGTCTTTCATTTCTGTAAATCACTTTGAATTGCCTTGTGTTGAAAGGTGCTATATAAATAAACTTGCCTTGCCTTGCCTAAAGACACACAGGATCAAAATCACACACTTTTACTTGTTATAATTCAAACCACTCTTATCGCAAGTGTTACTGCTGACCTGTAATAGACTGCAAAGAGGACTAGAAGAGGACTGAAGAGCACCAGCTGCAGGATCCTCCAATCGCGGATTAAATAGGCGATGCCCGATAGTAAGGTAATTCCCACAGAGAAGAGCGTTAAGGTGATTGTTGTGAAACGAGCAGCGTAAGAGGGACCAGTCCACTCCACCCCTGTAACACAGATATATATAGACATTTTATTTATTAGGATAAACCCTTTGAGAAGCACCATCTCGTTTTCAAGGGGGTCCCGACAAAAGCAACATCTTACAGACATACATGAACAAAATAACCGAAAGCAAAGCATGACAAACCACGTACAGTCTGTTAAGTAAAATGCATCAAGTAATACAATCATTACAATTTTATAGACAGTCGTGTCTAATAGATCAGTTTCATCAATGATAAGAGCAGACCAGCTGAAAGTGAGCATATTGGGATTTAATCTATTCTTACGTTTCATTTTGGAGTGAAAATTGAGTTTAGTAGAGGTTGCCAGCTCAGTGTCCTCTGTCCCTTAATATCTGTAATAATTTAATATCTAACATAATGTCCGTGCACCACCTGAAGTTAAACCAAGCTGCTACTTCCTGTCCTATCTTTACTTCTTTGGTGAACCTTGATGTGACACGAGATGGCCTTTCCATCCAACATCACTCACAAAAGTGTCAGCTATAAATATAGTGCCAAATCTGACAGACCACCAAGATTAATTAAGTAGTATACCGGTAGTTAATAAGAGCGGGTAAACTCAAAGTTGGATGTGTTATCAAAGTGTGTGTTTAATGTAAAATGATGATGGGAAGAACAAACCTACCCATCACAGATGTGTTCATCTGAAGGTTGAGACTCGAGGTGCCGGAGAGAAATTTGAAAACCATGTAAACGTAGATGTTGGGGGAGAAAGCTGAACCAACACTGAAGAACAGGAGGAGAGAAACACAGAGCAGGATCGAGAAGCGCCGTCCAAACCTGCAGGGAGAGGAGAGAAGACGTATGCTTTCACCTCAACACGATATAAACTACAGATAAGATTAACCACCACGGAGCACCACAGGAGGTCTTTCCACCCAGTGGCCATCAAACTCTTTAACTCGTCACCCTTCAGTAAAGGGAACTGAGAACTTCCACACCAACACTATGTGCAATATAAATATCATTACCATCATTACAAAACACTCGCTGCTATATGACATGTGCAATATTATTATTGTTAACAATGTGCTGTGATAACGTGCAATTACGTATCTGCCACTGCGTTTATTTGCACTACTAAAGACTGTTAATATTGTAAGGGACTGGGAGGCAGAGTAGTGGGAGACACCTACATTCCCAATAGGTGGCTCCACCCGCTGCCAATTATCAGTATTGGGAGCAGGTGGGGAGACCTCACACCTGGTGCTAATCACTCCCTCAAGGGAGACAAAAGCACCTAGAGTTTATCAGGTGTGTGTGGCACATGGAGGGAGCAGGAGACTCCCAGCATGAGGAAACAGTTGTAAGCTGGCAAGTCGGTTAGCGGCCTGGCTACGTTAGCCTTTCTATTGTAAAAGGTATTTTTTAGTTGAACCGCAATAAAGCCTCTTTTTGGATTTGAACATTGCCTCTGTCGTGACTGCTTCACTACCATTTTCCTCTTTATCTGCCCAGGCCTGTTACACTGGTGGAGAATGCGGGCACGAGAACCGAGATGGGAACCCGAAGAGGTAAGGCGACGACAGTCCTACCTGCCAGAGGGCCAACCGCGTTGCTACCAGTGTGGGGAGATAGGCCACATTGCCCGGGATTGCCCAGGGAAGGATGAGCTAATGCCGACCGCCCACTCATCTGGTGCAAGGCCTTGCCACCTTCTTGACTCTTGCTGGGCACAGGAAAGCTCCCTGGCTCAAATGATACCAGTCAAGGTAAATGGAAAAGATGCAGAGGCGCTAGTGGACTCAGGAAGTGTGGTGTCCCTCATTCAACCCCACCTCCTCGACCATTTGCCATCCAAAGAGACTGTGGCCGTCTCCTGTGTCCATGGGGACACTAAATTATACCCCACTTGCCTCATCCACCTTACCACAGTTAAAGGCAGCTGTGAGCTGAAAGTGGGGGTGGTTCCTTCCCTACCAGTCCCAGTCTTGGTGGGGCGAGACTGTACAAGCGCCTGCGGCACCAGAAGGAGGGGAGGCCCAAAAATCCCAGGCGTGCCAAAGGAAAGCGAGAGAAAGGACAAATTGCCACCCCGGGTACGTCTCCTCAGCAGTTCCCCAAAGTTGTGTGTGCTGTGCCGGAGGAGCAGAGAGGCAACCAATCTTCCAGTGCAGACGAGGCAAATGATAACCCTTTTGTTGCTTTCCCTGAAGACCTAAGCACAGGGGATGAGGAGGGTGAAGTCGCATTGCTTCCAAGTTTGAAGGGCCAGTTCGGGACCGCCCAGATGGAAGACCCCAATCTGCTGCATGCACGCAGTAATGTTACGGAAATAGAGGGAAAACCTGTTCCAGGAGTAGGTGAGCTTACATGTCCTCATTTCCTAATCAAAAATAATCTGTTATACTATGCCAAAGAGGTTGAAGGTCAGCGAAGAGACTTGTTGGTGGTCCCAAAACAATATGTGTCCACAGTGTTGCATCTGGCTCACAGCCATGTCCTAGGGGCCCATCTAGGGGTTGAGAAGACAAGGCAGCGGATTGGGAGCCGGTTCCACTGGCCAGGGGTAGTAAGAGCTATAGAGGATTATTGTCGCACCTGTGTTGAATGTCAAAAGATGAGTCCCAAGCCACACTTTAAAAATCCCCTAATACCTCTACCGATAATCGATGTACCGTTTTCTCGCATTGCCATGGACTTAGTGGGACCGCTGGTGAAGTCTGCCAGGGGACATCAGTATATTCTTGTGATCCTTGACTATGCAACCAGGTACCCGGAGGCCATTCCCTTGAGGAACATGACAACGAGAGATTGCACGGGAGCTGCTTCACCTATTCAGCCGAGTTGGGATTCCTAAAGAGATACTAACAGACCAAGGCACTCCCTTCATGTCCAAGATAATGAAGGATCTCTGCAGGCTATTCAAGGTAAAGCAGCTTCGTACATCTGTCTACCATCCTCAGACAGACGGATTGGTAGAGCGCTTTAACAAGACATTGAAATCCATGTTAAAGAAGGTTGTTGACAAGGATGGTCGTAACTGGGACCAGCTTCTGCCCTATGTCCTGTTTTCAATCAGGGAAGTTCCACAGGCTTCAACCGGTTTCTCCCCCTTCGAGCTGCTGTACGGCCGACAGCCCAGAGGACTTCTCGACATCGCGAAGGAAGCCTGGGAGGAGCAACCAAGCCCCCATCGGAGCCTGATTGAGCATGTAGAGACGATGCAGACGCATATGAAAGATGTTTGGCCCATGGTCAGAGAGCACATGGCTCAAGCCCAAGAAGCCCAGAGGAAAGTGTATAACAGAGGTGCCCAACCGCGTGAGTTCCTGCCCGGGGATAAAGTGCTTCTCCTGGTCCCCACCACAGAACACAGATTCCTGGCATCGTGGCAAGGTCCCTATGAAGTGGTAGAGAAGGTGGGACCAGTCAACTACAAGGTACGCCAACCTGGCCGTCGCAAACCATCCCAAATATACCATGTTAACCTGTTAAAGAAATGGTACGCCCGAGAGGCACTGCTGTGTTGTGGTTCCCCGGTTGTGTCCCCCTCTTCTCCAGACCAGGAGGTGGCCGAAGTGGAATACGGTCCATGGCTGTCCAAAGCTCAGTTACAACAAACCAAGGAACTGGTTCAGCAGACTTTGGACGTGTTCTCACTACGACCTGGACGCACAACGATGGTGGAACATCAAATCCACACAGAGCCTGGCCAAAAGGTAAAGATGCGGCCCTACCGGGTGCCGGAGGCAAGACGGGCGGCCATTGAGCAAGAAGTGCAGAAAATGCTGGCTATGGGGGTGATTGAAGAATCTCACAGTGAGTGGACCAGCCCTGTCCTTCTGGTTCCTAAGCCCGACAAAACCAACAGGTTCTGTAATGATTTCAGAAAGTTGAATGAAATCTCCAAGTTTGATGCGTATCCTATGCCCAGGATAGATGAGCTGATTGATCGGCTTGGGGAAGCCAGATATATCAGCACTCTGGACTTGACGAAAGGGTATTGGCAGGTCCCACTTGAAGCAGCCTCAAGAGAGAAGACGGCCTTCGCCACCCCCACAGGGCTGTACCAATATACTGTGCTTCCCTTCGGGCTTCATGGAGCACCAGCGACGTTCCAGAGACTGATGGACAAGGTTCTGAGGCCACATCGTGAGTATGCAGCTGCCTATTTGGATGACGTTGTGATCCACAGTGACTCATGGGATCGCCATCTCACAAGGCTTGCAGCAGTGCTGGAATCTCTCCGAAGGGCGGGCTTGACAGCCAATCCAAGAAAATGCAAGCTTGGACTGGAGGAAGCCGAATATCTGGGCTTCACCATTGGGCGGGGCAACGTTAGACCACAAGAAAGGAAGGTTCAGGCGATCCAGGACTGGCCACGGCCGTCAACAAAGAAACAGGTGAAAACCTTCTTGGGTCTGACGTCCTACTATTGCCGTTTCATCCCAAACTTCTCCACAGTCGCCTCTCCCCTTACAGACCTGACCAGAGACTCACAGCCGCTAATGGTCAAGTGGACAGGAGAGGCTGAACACGCCTTTGAGGGACTTAAGAGGGCTCTCTGCGCACGGCCGGTGTTGGTGACCCCAGACTTCAGCCGGGGGATGATTGTGCAGACGGATGCGTCAGAGGTGGGCATAGGAGCAGTACTATCCCAGGAGGTTCAAGGTGAGGAACACCCCGTCATGTACATCAGCCGGAAGCTGAACACAAGGGAACAAGGGTATGCTACTGTGGTGAAAGAAGGCCTAGCAATAAAATGGGCGCTTGAGTGCCTCCGGTATTACCTCTTGGGACGTCACTTCACTCTGGTATCTGATCATGCCCCACTGATCTGGATGGCAAATAAAAAAGACACAAATGCTAAAGTAGGAAGGTGGTTTGTCTCACTACAAGAGTTTAACTTCTCTATCATCCACAGAGCCGGAGCTAAGCATGGGAATGCAGATGCTCTGTCCCGTAGAGATGCCCTGTGGACCATGGTCACCTCTCCTCGGCCAGAACTGAAGGGGGGGGTGTGTAAGGGACTGGGAGGCAGAGTAGTGGGAGACACCTACATTCCCAATAGGTGGCTCCACCTGCTGCCAATTATCAGTATTGGGAGCAGGTGGGGAGACCTCACACCTGGTGCTAATCACTCCCTCAAGGGAGACAAAAGCACCTAGAGTTGCTCAGGTGTGTGTGGCACATGGAGGGAGCAGGAGACTCCCAGCGTGAGGAAACAGTTGTAAGCTGGCAAGTCGGTTAGCGGCCCGGCTACGTTAGCCTTTCTATTGTAAAAGGTATTTTTTAGTTGAACAGCAATAAAGCCTCTTTTTGGATTTGAACACTGCCTCTATCGTGACTGCTTCACTACCATTTTCCTCTTTATCTGCCCAGGCCTGTTACAATATTTACATTAATTATGTGACCGTCTGTTTCCTGTAGATATTGAATTGCTCTTTTTACTACACTGTTAGTGTACAGTTTTTCTATCATGCTGCTGTGTTTGTTGTATTTGTATGGCTCTGGCACAACAATTTCCTTCGGGATAAATCAAGTCTTATTTTATAGATTATTTTTGTTATTTTCTAAAATAGAGATAATAACATACGTGCATAGATAAATACATCATTATTTATATTATTAATAATAATTAGATAAGGCTATTTAAAGAAAAAATAGACAAACAAAAAGGTGGATGTGTTTTGGATTCTTACCGGTCAGAAATCGCCCCATAAGCCAGCGCTCCAACCAGAACTCCGGCCATGGAGATGGACTGGGACGCCTCGATCAAACCACTCCTGTCACAAACTACATCAAACTGAAGTGAGAGGGGGACACAAATAAACAAAAACAGAGACCTTACTGCAGTATTTGTTTATAAAGTTATCAGTACAGTCACCACAGGCAGATAGAGGAGGGCATATGAGGTCACCGCTTCTCAAACATCAGAAACATTTACTTATAGTTTTAATAGTAAAGTGTTTAATATGTACCTCTGTCACGATGCTAGAAGCTCCAACAGGTGCGTCATAGTCCAATCCATGTATGCATCCTGTAGTCTTGTTGATGCCATACGCCTCAATGGTTTCCAAATCAAGATCCACAGGTGTGAACATCTCACAGCTCTCAAAGCCTCCATCCTTGTTCAGTGGGAGGGTGAGATTTCTTTGTCGCTCCTCCGTCAGGTTGGGTCCTCGCTCCAGGATCCAGTCGGTGTTACAGGAATGTGGGAAGTTCAGTCCTACAAACACCTGACCGAGCATGTCGAAAGCAGAAAAAATGCTGAGGATGCATACTCCAGCCAACAAGCGTTTCTGAAAGCCACCAAACTCCCCGATCTCCCGCAGGATCTCCCCGAAGCTGCTCATAGTGATGCTTGTCTATGCTGTGGTGCCACATTCACTGTGATGTGATGGATGTGCCAATCTGAAGGTGCTATACCTCAAGGAAGTGGGCAAAAGGTGCCAACTAACTAATATTTAACCATGGACATAAGATTAGTACGATGGACTTAAGACATAACAATAATAAAGCGTGCACTTATAATAATCTGCCTGTAGAACTGCAAAAATTATTAATGATTTACAAAACGGATTGTTATTGAAATATCGATAAACTTGGCATAAGCCTGAATAGCAGACTATTGAACTGTAAAACACATTATTTCTTATACTTGTAAGACTGTATCACGGATAAGCTACTTTAAGATATGGCTATTCAATTAAAAATAAAAACACTGTCACATTAATAGAGACAAATATAACAGATGATTAACCGTTTTAATCAGTGGCGGCTGGTGGAAAATAATTTTGGTGGGGCTGTTGATATAGTGAGTATTTTTTTGGGAGAAATTACCCCTTAAATTAGGACTTCTGTTGATGTAATGGCGTGTTTCCAGTGCAGCGCGGAGCTCGCTTTAATGCTGCGTTCAGACCGGACGCGATGCGAATATTTGCTTCGCTCTAAACGCTCCTATCGCACCTATGGAGTCAGATTTGGGTCAATATTCTAGCGCGCAAAACAAGCTACTCACGAGTGGAAAATGTGCTTTTACAAGCGCATTAAATGACCCCAGCGCGCGGATTAAATCCCCGCGAGCGGCTATGCGCTCGCTCGCTCGCTCGCTAGAGACAGCCCTCTTGCTTGCTCGCGGGAGTGTCAGCCTCACTTGCTCGCGGAGTCTGTCTACGCGCGCGTGAAAAGTTTCTGACACTTTGGGGCGGAGCCACTCGACTTTGATTGACAGCTGCCAGGAAGCCCGGAGTTGCCAGGTTTGATAAATGCCTGAACTACCAAGAGCCGAGGAGTGACAGCTGCAAGATCAGTTGGACGAGACTGAATGGTAAAGTTGTCCATAAAAAACTATTATATGGCTCTGGGGCAACCATGCTCCAGGGTCTTCTTCGCTGCTTTTGGTGTATTTTGTGGCGGCAGCAGCGCCACTTACAGGCCTGGCATATGTACTACAGCGTTTCCAGCATTTCCAGCGGTCTAGTGTGAACGGACACGTTAATGAATCGAATGCGTGTGAACGGAAGACTTTTTTGCGTATGCGTTTTACTGTATGCGTCCTCGTGGGGCCGGGGTCTAAGCCAAACTATATCCGGTCACAGAGATCTGCTATTTTAAAGTAATGTCAACACATATCGACCCTAAATATAGTCTGTATTAAGAACGAGAAAAGTCTTAACATATATATCGTTTTTTGTAAACATATGACAAATGTGTGAGGGTGATGACGTCAGAGCATCGTCCTATGTGCCGGGCTTAGCTCCGGACAGCCCCAGCCCAATTTAACCCCTGGGTATTTGTGAGGGAGCTCCTATATGGCATTAGCCCGCTGAAGCTCACCAAAGTTTAATATATTTCATAGTTCAAAGTTTTGTCAATTGTTTTGTTTATTGGTCAAATACTGGTTTCTAATGGTTTCTGAGGAGTTTTACTGGAATAAAAGAGCACAGAGTACAGAAGCAACAAAGCAGCATACTGCATTAAAAAACCCCGAGCCTGTTTTTCAGGTTTCAGGCTCGAAAATGACATTCCCAGAACAAATGACTATAACTTCACTTCTAAAAGGTTTATATGAATAATTGTTGTTATCAAAGCAAGGTTACATCTGTGAGTTTGATGTAGAAGTGTCAGAATCAATATAGATCTTTCTGTGTCAGAGTAAATTCAGATGGAACATAGCAAAAAAATATAAATTCCTGTCTCCGCCTAAAGAAAACCCATTACTTATAGTGAAGACCAACCTTGAATGATGGGTTAGTAGCCTAAACGCTTTAGGAATCCAAAGTATAACATATAATAAGTACCCTGTATCAAGATTGAGGCGAAACAAGTGACATTTGACCTTTTTAGAGAGGTTTATGAAAATAAAGTCCAGGCGCAATAAGCTTTGGGCACATTTGGGCACATTTGGTTCCATCAGTGCCATTTGACCTTTTTCAGGTACCAGACTATAAAAATCATTGTATTACATTGAATCATCACTATAGGTATTCATTCCACCCAACAAAAAAAAAATATTTTTAAAAAAAAAGAAAAATTTAAAAATATTTTTGTGTGAGTGTGTGTAGGTGTGTGTAAGTGTAGGTATGTGTGTGTGTATGTGTAGGTGTGTATGTGTAAGTGTAGCTGTGTGGGTATGTGTAGGTGTGTATGTGTAAGTGTAGCTGTGTGGGTATGTGTAGGTGTGTATGTGTAAGTGTAGCTGTGTGTGTATGTAACTGTACCAACGCACTATACAATAAAACTACACTGTAGGTCATTGTGTGTAGGTGTACTTGCACAATAAAAAAAACCGGAAACATAGGTAACATTTGACTCCAACTGGGACAGATTTATTTCAAACATTTTACCAACACACTATAGGCATGTAAAAACAAATAGTTTACCAACACACTATACAATAAAATCACACTAGGTATATAAAAACAACAAGTATTTTTTTTTTTAAATAAACACTCGCAAAACGTTATACCTACCTGAACTTTATACCTACCTGAATGTTCCAGTATTTAGGTCGTGCCACTCCCTGAAACAGTTCTTTTTGACAGTGAAGCACAGAGGGACCTGGCACTTCCTGCAGTACACAGGTGTCTTCACCCTTTTGAGTCCAGCATCTAAGCCCCTCCATAGCCGCGGGAAGTCATTTGGCTCAGGGGGTGCTGCCAAAAGTGGAGAGGGAGCCGCTTAAGCGATACAAGCCGCATCAATTGTTTGTTAAAGGCGAGACACGGCAGGCAAAAACATCGTTTTTCATGCACTGGTCAATGTTGAGATGTTGTGCTATTTTGATTCCATAACATGTTTTCTTTCAGGCTTTTGGAAGGAAAACGTACAAAATACACATTTAAGTGTTCATTTTACTATAGTTTGTCTATTTGCATCTGTATATTTCTCGTAAATTCACCAAAAGTTAGCATTCTAACGTAACATAAAGTACCGCGACCGCTGTTTGCACAATGTCATCGTTGGAAAAGCTCCGTCTCTCCTGCACAATCTCATCGGATCCAAATATGGTCATTTCCTTTGTATCAGCAGCCAATCGTGAAAGTACAAAAGGGTCTTAAACCAAGAAACGAAATCTCATTGGCTGGTGTCAACTTCTGACAACGTGATTCGTTCAGATGCGTCACGTGGTGTGCTGAAACACTTCCTGGTTAGCTTTCCGCTAGAAATTTAAATCTCAAAATGGCAAAAGAACGGCGAAAAAACGTTCAGAGAAGACAACAACAATTGTCACTTGCACGAAGCAAGATTATATAAAAACCAAATCACCCCGAACATGAAATACCTTCACGGAGTGCGTCGAGGCGCAAGCTGTCATCCAAAGAACAGGAGGGTTTAGCTAGCGCCTCACTGCAATCTTTAAAGGTCATTTTCTCAAAATGAGTTTTTTCTCCTACTCTGAGTCAGAAATGTCCACTTCAGTTGCACTTACATACACCAAACCTTCCAGTTATATTCCTATCAATATTATGAAGGTTTTTACAGAAGGGGTTTGTTCATATATCATTCATAGCCTGAATTATATAAGATGTTATACCTAGAAACATGGCGAAAATTGATATTTTAGGGCTGTTGACAGTATTTTCTGATTAATGGAGTGATAAAAAGAGATATCCAAAATCCCTTCTGTAAAAGCCGTAGATGCTAATATGACTACAAAATGAAACGAGAATTTTGAACCTGGCTTTATCCAAAGTTCAGATTTCGGTTCTTGAAATGTGTTAAAATAGGCGCAAATTTAATGAGATAATGGCTCATTTGCATATTCAGAAAATTTGTAATATAAGAAACAATTGCCTTATTGTAGGTAATTAACTGGATAAATTACCCTATTCACCTGGGGTGTCTCGCCTTAACTAGGCTTAATACACCATTATAGACCTACATCACTTAGCAACAGCTGCACATGCCCACATGCTAACTATGGGTCTTACAAACCTACATAACATTACAAATAGTCAGACAATATTATTTACAATATTAATAAAACTATGAATTCAATTTTAACTGATTGACAAGGCAAAACACTGCACAGCGGCAGCAGCATTAAAGGAAAAATATCGTCTTACCTTGTGTTGGGGCTTCACAAAACTCCAAATGTAGCCTGGGGTGGCACTAATGAAGACCCTCATTAGAGCAGATACATCCACATTGTCCAAAATGTTACTATGGACATGCATTAAAGTCAGATGTGTCAGTCTCTTCTGTGTCATATTACTTGTAGAGGTGGTGGGCTGAGGAGTAGCTGGTGGTCCACTATTTTTATTGGGTTGTTTGTTGGAGAAAAAAATCCAAAATCCTTTTTTGCGCCATTCTATAAAGTTGTCACTCTGCAGTGTGTGTGTCGCGTCAATTACGTCACTCTCCCAGGACCTACGACCTAGATGACTCGGATTTTATTTATTTGGAAAATAAATTCAAGCCACCTGATATATACAAATATATACTATGACTATTATATGCTACTGTATACAGCTAATTTTATTTTAAGTAAAATCATAACTATTTTATGTAGTTTAATAATTTTTATTTAGGTGGTCACTCAGTTTTTCAAATATATACCACTCGCCAACAGGGGGTGCTGCAGCACCCCCAGCACCCCTACTTCCCGCGGCTATGGGCACCTCCTGCAGTTCTTCCTGACCTTGGTGGCATCTTCCCCATAATACTCGGGCATGCATGTGAGTGGTGGAGGAGGGGGTGGTGTAGGTGCAGGGCCTTCAGCAGGGCCTTCAGCAAACTCCAACAATTCTGCAGCAAGCTGCTCCCTGAAAGTCTTCTGGGTGTGTGGCTTTGTCCTGCTGGGGTCACTCCTCATCTAACAAATGTGGAAAAACAAAGAGATTAGATTAATTCACTGGCTTATACTTATCGGATAATATTGGACTATAAATGAATAATATTACACCAAATAAATAAGTAAACACATTCACTGGCCATTCATTTAGAAAATGTAACTCCAAAAAGACAAGTAACACTATTTAGCATTTTGCCTAATCATTCCTGTAGCTTCTTGGCTAAGCTAACACTGTGATGCAGTTCCACCAAACACAAAAGTAATATATAAAAAGGACAATATTGGACTATAAATGAATAATATTACACCAAATAAATAAGTAAACACATATATATATTCATTCACTGGCCATTCATTTAGAAAATGTAACTCCAAAAAGACGAGTAACATTATTTAGCATTTTGGCTAATCATTCCTGTTGGCTAAGCTAACACTGTGATGCAGTTCCACCAAACACAAAAGTAATATATAAAAACAGAGAGATTACATACCTTTCCCGTGGTGGAAGTTCAACATCCGA